TTTTGTCTAGCCATCATTTATTTATATTGTTTTCATTCCGTAATGAATTCCGTACGTCTTACTTTTACCAGCACTGTATTTATCAATCCATTAACTTCCTCGCAATGTTTGATCGCTGCCAATATTGACTTATTTCGGTTCATTACATGTTTTTTAATAGAAATTTTTATATTTCAATTATGTTTCACTGAAAATTATCGTGATTTCCAGAACCTTCGAGTTTTTTTTCTCCAAACTCTTGTGTCTTCTATATCCGTAAGAGTGCGAAAATATTGTATGAAATCGACACTTTTTGGTTAACAGTCACTCCATTTTTATATCGTTTATTTTTTCACATCGAGATAACTTATTTTGTGTACCATACAGGATTTTTTAGACTTATTACTGTCAAATTCTTGATTGATTTTTTAACACCGACTTTCAAGTAATATAGTGTATTTATACCAGAATTATCACCTAGCTATCTGGAAAGTGTAAAATTTATCCGTTTTGATGTAATTTCAAATTAGCAATTGGAAATATCTAAATATTTAAGAGTATAGTTACTGTGTGGATTAAATTTTATTGTATATTCATATTTTCTCATTCGATTTAAACGAAACCTTCCTATGCTTTTTATTGAACATTAGAGGATCGTTTTGTTTAAAGTGAATTAAAATGTATGATTGTATAATAGGATTTGATGCACAAAGCAATCATACTCTTAAATATTCAAGTATTACCAATTCGCTGTTGTGATCATACTCGTATATCAAAACCAATAAGATATTCAAATTTTAGGTAGCCAGTTAAATGTATAGATCAATAATTGTATTGTTTAATAATCGTTTATAAAATTCAATAAAGGAGTGGAGTACAATAAATAAGAAATATAAAATATATTGTACGGTACTCGAGGTGCACAAAATACTCGATGTTAAATTGAAGTAACCATTTCGTGAAAAATAAATGTATTTCACGGAGTTTCCATCGGCACATAGCTGTTCGGAAATTATTGTTCCGGACCATTTACTAGACATTATGCAATTACAACATTTCGGTTATAGGGTGGTCACTTTTCGGCAACCTTTTGATATATAACAGGTTTATCTTATAAATTTGTATTAGCCCTTTACTGATACTGTTTTGTACAATGTATATATTACAAATAAAAATTGTCCCACATATGATGGCTAAGCCTGTTTCCCGAAATTATGAACATCCAGTGTAGCTTATTGTATACAGATTCCTGTGCCGTTGCATTTGCTGTGAACCAGTTGTTAGCCACAACTCGACCGTAAGTGCATTATATTCTTCGATCAGCAACAGTGTTGCTAGTCGGCGATCATCATTATTGATATGTTGCCACGAGCGTATAACAAACATTTGTATAATTTACGCACATTTATTTGTTGCGATACGTATTACTTATCATCGTGATTTTGACTGGGCACCATCAAAGATTAATTAAGTTATTAACATACAGACACGTTAAAATTTCAGTTGTGGAAAACCATGATAGTTTGCATCCCGAACGACCGCGCCCGGATACAATATGGATTTTTTCGATTTTGGATAGAACACGCGTATGCCACAAAGACGAACACAAAAAAATCACAACGCATTACCTTCAACGCATACTTACACCTGGCGAAAATATCCTTAACTTCGTTACGCACAAAGGTCACCGCGGCAAGTAAAGTGACCCAAACCCGAAAAAAATATTCTTATTATCAAGTATAATTGTCAATATTACCAAACTGCGGTTTTGAGAAATTATTCAACACCGATAACGTAACCGCACACGTATGTTCGGAAAGGAAACACGACGTGAGATTAGAGAAATCTGAAGACACCGAAATGTTCTGCCACCACCTTCTAAGAAAAAAACGATTAACAATTTATTTAAAAACATGCTCTCATCGCTCTTTTAAATCGAGAAAAAAATGGTTGAAAGCTGAAGATGATCTTTTTCATTGTTAGATACTTTTTTTATGACATCCACGTACATTTTAACAATAAATGTTATGATATTTTAATAATAAATAATAATTTTGTTTAAGCTTGTGTTTTTATAGTGTATTTTATACTCTTTGTCGTAATATTCAGCGTTTTGGTCAAGAAAATATAACTTCATGACTATACAACTGCTTCAAAAATGTAAATATTTGGTTCAAATAAAAAAAATTATAAATGTAATTTATTTATCATTTTAAAACTCGTACACATTTTTAGCATAAATACTTCACAAGCCTTAACAATAATTATTTTCATAATTACAGTCAAAAAAATTTAAATTCTCTCGTTAACAGTTTTTTGGTTAAATTGCTTAGTTAATTTTGGACTTAGAAAGTTGGTTTAACTAACAAAATTCATTAAAAAAATATGCGAAAAATAATTAGTGGTTAAAATAGGTGGTTGCCATTTAAGAAAAAAAAGTTGTAGGTACTTCGCATGCGCGTGTCTATTTAAGTTAAGAAAATTAAAAACTCGTAAAAATACACATTTTTATGTCATAAAAACCAAAAAAATATCATAATTCAAATTTTAGGCCTCTACGCAAAGATATCGAGTGTTCTCAGTTAGCGTTTACACACTGTATATATAATAGTGTAGTCCTCCTCGTCCACGTTGATCGCAAGTTTTTGCCCACGGAGGCGTTGCATAAACCGTGTGGTCACCGCTCAAAAGTTATGCGCATAATTTCCAAAATAGCGTAAAAACACGCGTGTACGGCAACGTGTACTAGTACAGTAGTAACTTTCCTATAAAAGATACAACGCGATGAGTAGTACCTCACGACGGAAAGAAATGCCTCCGACCTAGAAAATAATAATGTAGTAGGTGTACTGCGTAACGACACGGCGATTCGTCAGCATGCAACAACAGTGACAATATAATTACGTATGAAAGTAATCAGTATTTTTTTTCCTTATATCGTACGTATATAAACCGGAATGAGTCATAAGAATACGGTCGTGGAGCACAGCGGTTGACGCCAATGTCATCAACTGCGTACGCGTGTTCGTAGATAAAAGTGCTCGGACGTTAAGCGTACACGTAGCGTTCGAGCACTTTTATCTTTAAAAGATTTATCATCACACGTATGATGCATCGTTTCGCGATATGTGATGAAGAAAACGAAATCGGTAAATTTAACACCGCACGAAAAATTATCATAATATCTATGCGTTTACTCCGCAGAACGAGACGATTTTAGTAATTTTCCGAACAACAAAATTACAGGTCATCTACGCAACTCTTCCCTACTTGTTGGTTATGCGCTTTTAAATCAAAAAACGTTTATTATCTTATAATATATGCAAATCCATATATTTTATTTCATGTGAAACATATTTTGGCCTAATCGAGAGTCAAAACCTCTTGGTACTTTGAACTTGAAATTAATTTAATAAAAAACATGTAGACATGTCATTCTACAAATATACCGTCATTGGCAACAATAGTTCTGGATTATCGATGATGGTCAGGAGGGGGGTGGGTATACGTGCATCCATCGTGTGCATTATTCTCTTGTGTTGCGTATTAAGATGTAATGAAAATATATTTCTTAAACTTTCCTTCAATTTAAATTATTACTCATACATTTCAATGATACACAACCACCAGGTGTCCCGACGGTAGATCAGTTTTTGTGCTCCAGCCCGGTTATAAGATTAGACACAAGCATTTTCTGTTATGTTTTCAAATCATGAGGAACGAGAGTTGTCCAAAATATTGTAGTCATTTGCGGAGTTTATTGCAATACAATCAAATGGAATACATTATGTCCTTATTGTTATTCAAATAGTTTTTCGTACACGCAATGCAGAATTAGTAGTCATGGGTGGTATGTGTAATATTTTTATAGGTATGCTCGTTAGTACAATGACATATATAATGATAATAACTATAATTAGTGTCGGATTATTTTTCAAGCTAATAACACATATGTTTGAAGTCGTTTAAAGGAGAGTGATATATTAACGAATATTTCAGAATATAATGTTGTGTTTGGCGTATACGATATAGAATTGGACAAGAAAAAAAACTGTTTTCAGAAATTGACAGGAAGTTATACAAAACAAAAATAAAAAATAACGTGGAAATAATTACTAGGTTCTAATGTTCATAATTAAACTTCAATAAAGGAACTTTGAAAATAGCCATTACAAAGAAATAGTTTCAATATTTTTTTACTACACAATTATACGTATCTATTATGTCTTTCAGTATTTTGTAATTAATTATACAATAATATATTGATTCGATCTCCAATAATTGATAATACATTTTCGCTTGACGCAGTGTCCATGATAGTATATAAGAATACAACAGTTGTCAGTGAACCATTGCAATGGGAAATTATATTATATACGTTACGACTTGATGGCGATCTTTTGATTTATTTCCACACCTGCAATGATGTTACGAATGAAACCGAAACATCAACTGTCTTGGTTGAAAAGGTGTGCATTTTTTATATATTCACAATACATGTTAAAATTTATGCTGATGTTTGTAAAATTATTTTCGTTCTTAGCTGAAGAACTTTAGAAGTTAGTAAAACATTAAATTCTAAGTAACAATGCATTTTCATGTTTGGTTATTAAGCCAGTGCTTATAACCGCATGTATCCCATTCATTCCTAATTGATTCGAATATAAAAATAATATTTATTAATTATATAATATGATATAAATAATATTAATTAGTGTAAATGATTATAAAAAAAAAAAAAAATGTTGATGATAACGCATTGAGGTAGCCCCCTCGTTGGACACCGTGTACATGCATTTGATATATTTGGATGAACAGGTCAACTGTTTAGCGCTTAACATATATACGTTTTGACACCGCAGATATTCCGTTTAGGTGGAGCATTCAGCCTTTATAGCTAGTATAAGCCATATATTAGTATGTGTGTGTATGTTTATTATATTAGGTGTACACATTCCGATGGATTGGTTTTTTTTACACACGTATACATACACAAAATCTTGAATCATTTTTAAGTTTACCTCCATGGATGTGGCACGAATCCTGCACAGTTGTCGTGGCACGTTAGGCACGGTCTCCCTTCGTACTGCTCATTCGCAACGGCTCCCTGAAATGGGGAAGAAAAAAATTATAAATTAAACGATCCAATAAAATACCTACCAATTTTACTTATACATAGGCACAAATAGAACTCAGATTTTAGGAGGCTATAAGTACCGAAATAACAGGGAACCACAAGGGCTACGCCCCCTCATCTACTAATTTACAAGCAGAGACAATTTTTCACTAATAATTAAAAACAGTTCAGTTCAAATTTTAACAAGAAGATGAAAAAACGTGATTTCATGAAACAAATTTTGATTTTGAATATTTCTATGTAAAACGAAAGCCATTATATAGTGCACTGAATAATCAAAATTGTCAAACTTCGTGTGTTGAGATTATAGACATAGATGATTAGATTTTATTTCAATTACTAACACAAAATTCCGAGAATCATTATTTTTAATCTGGAAGGACTAAGAACACATTTAGGGAGCTAAGCCCCTCAAAGTTTCCTCCCTAGTTGCGCCTATGACTTATTAATAATAATGCGTTCATTAATAGAAATTATAATAATTAAGAATATTCGGTTCACGAAGCGTGCGAGTCTTAATAATATACAGAGACGATTCCGCTAACAATAATAATGAAAATAATAATTTCTTTATAATATTTATAATACCTAAGTTAAACCGAACGATGTATTCCGTCATATAATACACGCGGAGAATAACAATGGAGAGACGAATATCCTGAAAGAAATACAGTGACAATTTGTCACCCGCGACTGTGCAGGTGACGTCACCACGTTCAGTTGGACATCGACGACCGTATATGGTCACAGTTCAATCTGTTCGGTGAAAAAAGTAAATGAACGTGCGAATCTGCACACGCGAGAGAGAAAATTAAACACAGAAAGAGAGAAAGACAGAGAGAGAGAGAGAGAGAGAGAGAGAGAATGAATTTATGCAGGTTTAGTGCAAGGACAAACTCTTACACTTTTTTTTTTATGTATATATACGTGTATACCGCGTGCGTACGTACAGCAATATAATATTGTGTAGATGTATACAAAATGATTCGCTTCTATTATTTGTACAAAAATCGATTGTTAAATCTTTAAACGTCTAAACCAACTTTACGTTACTAAATGTTAATTTTACATTACGGCTATAGCAATGAATGAAACCGTATAACCGAAGGGATTTATCGGAAATACGTTCTAATTGTAGGGAGGAGTCGAGGGAAAGTCTTAAAAAATTATAATAAAACAAACACTAATAAGCTTCGCCCTCCTATTTCCAAATAAAGTTATGATCAATTTAGATTTACGATCAATATAATTTCACTAAAAATTAATAGTTAGTTACAACCCATCATTTTTATATGTTTAGTATTATAATAAAGTTAATATTGTATATTTGTTTGAGGTATATTTTGTAAATTCACTATACATAAGAATCACTTTGTATTTATAATTATAATACATAGTATGTGTCTGTGTGTGTGTGTGTAGTATGTGTAAACACCGAAAGAACAAATATTATTATTTTGATGATAGTTGCGTGACAAATAATTTGTATTTCTTTATACCAGTAAAAGCGAAACTGTGTCTCGATTATCGGACGTCCGTCAATGTTATCAATGAAATAAACATCTCGTTTTTAATTTTTTCCAGCAAGTCAACATTTAAATTTCTCTGAATTATTAACATTTACAACCGTACTCTTCAGCTGTTAATTACTACAATCCGAGCGGTTTTATTTGTACTTTTATTATAACACTTAGCAGTTTACAGTTTAAGGGAGCTGAAAAATTTAAACTTGTTCAGCTCTACCTTTTTTTTGACTGGTTTCGTTTGCGAACGAATTATTTCTACAGTAGGTTATCGAACACAATTTTTATTTTAAACACCAGCCAAATTAAAGTTTATAAGTGGCTTGGACAAACCACATTATTTGTTTGATTCTATGATGCATCGTGTTATAATTTGTTTACAGTGAATCGTTGTTGGGTTTTTACTTATTACCTGAACTAGTATTGGAAGTATTTTAGATTTAAAAATGTAATTCATTCAAACTTGATAACTAAACAATACGTATATATTAAGCCAATTTTAAATTGACCTAGGTGTAGACCTTCATTTATTATTATTTCAGACGCATGTTGCGTAAACGTCACATCTGACGTTTTTTCGAGTGCAATGTACTCGAAAAAATACATTAAAAAATTTAAAAAAATAATTTTAAGCTTCCCTGCAGACATTATAATACAGTATGTCCCATAAGTCCCGTATCACCTTTAATATCTCCACGGGAAATCAATATATTTAAACGCGTTTTTTTTTACAATACTTAGTATAGAAATTCTGATTGAATGGCATAAAATTCAATTTTTTTTTAAAAAAATTCAAAAATTCAAAAAATAATTTTTTATAAATTTAAGAATTTTCAATTTTTAAGATAGCCATTTTCTTGAGCATATTTTTTAAAACAGTTAAAAAAAAAATATTAAAATTTAATAAAAGTTGACCAAGTTAGAGCAAGTTATGTTTTTGAATAATTATAATAATAGTTGTTACCTAGCAAAACATGAATTGCTCGATTTCATCAATCTCGATTGGAACGCTGATTTTTTATGGCAATCTGTAAATATCTCATTATTAGTGGAGCTTTTGGGAAACATTAAAATTAAAATTCATATAATATTTTTAAACATGATTGTTAATAGAAAAAAAAAAATATTTTATTACATAAAAACGAAAATAATGCATTACATTTTTTTTTATTAATGTTGGAAGTGACCTCCATTATTTGTAACACAGAGCTGAAGTTTTTGGACCCAAGGATTTTCAATATTTTCTAATGTCTCAGGTAAAATATTTTGAATATTTTGTTCAATTTTGTCACGGAGATCAGGCAATGAACACGACGGATACACAAGATTTTTCAAATAACCACCATAAAAAAAAAATCCATTGGTGTTAATTCGGGTGACCTAGGTAGCCAAAGCACTGGATTATTGAAATGTGAAACAATTAATTTTTTTGTTATAATTATTCAAAAACATAACTTGCTCTAACTTAATCAATTTTTATATATATAATTTCAATAAATATATATATTTTTTTAAACTGTTTTAAAAAAATATGCTCAAGAAAATGGCTATTTTAAAAATTAAAAATTCTTAAACACATAAAAATTTTTTTTTTCATTTTTTAAAAAAAAAAATTGAATTTAATGCCATTCAATCAGAATATCCATACTAAGTGTTGTAAAAAAAAACGCGTTTAAATATATTAATTTCCCGTGGAGATATTAAGGGTAATACGGGATTTATGCGATGTACTATATATACGGTAAACATGATGATACCTGATGTTTAATTAATTATAATATTATAATACTGCAAAAAAAGTTTAATAACGATGGGTGTTCAGCCCCATAGCACTCTCCCTGAATACGCCACTGATTGTAAGTACATTTTATTTGATGGAGCGCAAAATTAAATAAAAAACAAATTTATCAATATCGAAGAAATAAACAAATTTAGTATAAGACATTTTTGTATAAACCACGGTGAAATGTTTACTATATAATATTGCTATACACGCACACATAAGATACCCATTATATACAATGATCTTATATATATATATATATATATATATAATAAAGATACAAACTTACACAAATACATATGACTCATTGTCCATTGTTTTCAGTGATATTTATATTCACACTTATCTCATCAGTCGTTTCCAAACAGTAAAGAAAAAATAAGTCATACCGAAGATTAAACTTAAATTTGCATTAAATAAATCTTTCGCTACTGCTCGGATTCACTTTCCCAATGCATTTAAAGTAGACAGCTATTATGAGAGAATTATGTAAAAATAATCATATTAATATATTTTGAATGGCAATAAGTGTCTTATTCAACGATTAATCTTAACGTCTTATCGAGTCTAACTTGTTTCTACAAAATTTTCTATAAAACATTTAACAGTGCACTTAGTACACAACGCAAAATACATTTATACATAATAGTATTATAGATGATATATATATATATCATATTATAATGTATTATATTAAATACATGATAATAAGCATTAAAATAAGCATTTAAAAATTTAAAATTAAGCAAAAATATTTATTAAAAAAAAAAAAACTATAAAATTCTAACTAAAAAATCAAACAAAATAAAAATAAATCTTCAGTTTAAAGCCATTAAGGATTTTATGGATTTTTCTGAAAAATAAAATGTAAACTATTCTCTCTGTTCTTGATCATTCTAATGTTTGACACTCAGTTCTATTTTCATTAATGAAATATCTTTGCTAACCCTACAACGATGCCTCGGATGGTGACGAACTATGTGACAACATAGATAAGAATTATTTTTAATTTTAATTCTATCAAAAACTACTTTGCAGGAGAAAACTATAAAAACATAAAAATAATTGGTTAATAAGCAAAATTAATCAGAAGAACTGGAAATAAATAAGCACTTTTTTGAAAAATTGCTGAAAAAAACAAAAAAGGGACTTTCAAATTTCATAATTATATGTGTTATAACTTGACATACTTTTATAGCACTCTGCTACATTTTAAGTCAATCCATAAAAATAAGCAAATGCTTTAACTCCCGACCCCTGATAATAACCAATATCAACCCACAACCCATAACTTCGTCTGCATCCAACTATCACAAAAGGAAAAACTGATTTCCGAGTTCAATTAAAATTGATTTTTACGAACAAAACGCGCACGAGATCGAATCGAATCGAAATGTTTTTTTTGCGATTGAAAAACGAAATTAACAAAACACGTGGATCATATGCGGCACTTGGGGATGATTCCAGAGAGGGCAAACAATTAATTATCTTTAACAACCCAACTCTCAAAAACACGAGTATAATTCTAATATTATTCTAAATCAGCTTCAAATTTAATTTGGAATTCAAAAAACTATTGTCTTGTTTTACATCAGAAATTAAAATTGCAGAGAGAATATCGTTAAGTAATTATTTTAAATTAAATTCAAGTTTTCGGCTTTCAT